ATGAGAAAAGATACAGAAATACACAAAAAGATAGATGGATAAAATTACCAAAGATACGATAAGATAGAAACAGGGAGCCACTCAATTTTTTGGGGTTTAAGGAGAAAATTAAGAAACCTTAGAAAAGAAAAGAGATAAGGAAATATATTTAGGTTCTGAGACCAAATCCAAGGAAAGATATCAACAGTTACTAATTAAATAAATTTGATCAACACTCTACATAAACAAATAATAAATATATTTGATGGACTCCGTCCAACTATTTACTTACGAAACTAAATCCTGGTCAAAGGTATGGTAATAATTGACGGTAAAAAGCAAATTCAAAGTTATTGTTATATCAGGAAACTTGTCAGGAGTAGACAAATAAAATTCATACATAAAACAAAAACAATATATGCAACAACAGAATAATATAGTCAACTGAATGCACACATAAGTAACAAAAATACACCATCAATTGATCAATGGTTGTACACATATAGAAATGAACAGTATTATATTTAGGAAATAACTTCACAAATACCATATAATGAAATCATACACAGTTTAAGTTATCAGCGAATAGAGTCTGATGCTATATAAAAATATTCAAATAAAATTGATTAAAGAAAGTCTCTCTCTTAGCTGTTTAATGGACATATCTCGAGATACTGGGTATAGTAAATAAAAAAAATGAGTAACCAATAACAAAAAGTTAATTAAAGTTAAATTCAAACAACACGACAAGATTACAGAAATAAAAATTTACCTCACCCGCACTTGGTCGCAGTTAATTATTTGGTTCGCACTATTATTTAATGATAAACTGAGAATTTAATGTTCATAATTTAAAAGTACTTAATAGTTGATTGAAAGTTCAGATAAAAATATTTAATGTTCTTTTAATTCAATTGTTAAATCGGTAGCTAAACTACAGGTGAAGACATGGATGTACGTAGATTCGCCCAGATAATTGAAGATAGTGATTATGATAACTTACAGTAAATCTTGATGACTGCTGCACTAGGTACTTCACTGAAGCTATATACTATACTTGTATCAAGCACTGAAGCTATTTAAATTAAAAGGTACTCTATAATTATATTTAATCTAATATAGTATTAGATTTAGAAACTCAAACTACATAAGTGTATACACACTAAAAATAATGCACAGAGACGGTAAGATATAGTCCTTACGCAAAGACTGTTCCACCAGAAGTGGTCTGATTCCTCTAAAAATTTCACAAACTTCCACCAAAAAAAAAAGAAGGGATATCTCCCACTTAAAAATGATAGGCCAGTACCTATTTTTAAGAAGGTAAAAATTCCAACGACATCGAACATAACGGTACCCTCCTAGCTAGAAACGTGATGAAATATAAATCCTTGGGAATTAGGTTTTTACAGAAACATATCTTAAAATGCTTTCGACGATTTTGTTTGCCAAAGTATCAAACAAAAACCCTTCTTAAAGCCGGAAAGAATTAGTTCCTTTCATACTCAGGATTACACAGGAAAGGATTAGAAACCTTTCGTACTCAGAGAAATTCCGTAATATTTCGGTAGATCCAATAAAATTTTGCCGATGGTAATGCGACCACTTGCGTATATATTATTTGCAAATCGACCATCCGCGTCTCAGCCACAGGGGTAGAGGGATTAGAAATTATTTAATATATTAATTATAAAAAAATGTTACAGTATGGTATCCGCATAATACTGGAAAAACAGCATCATTTTGTGAAGGTTTTACTTTTTCAATAAAATGTAGGAATCATTGTATAAATATATAGGTTTAAATCCACACACTTAGACGACACACAAATTTTGTACCACGAGGAGCACTTTGTGATTTTTTCTGATAAAAATCCGATATTCTGAAACAAACGTTTCTCCAGCACCCATATACAGGACTGTTGTGAATAAAGAAGGCTTCTGCAAAGGTTAAGGCTCCTAATTTAGTTATCTCCTTTTAACCAAAAATATTTAATTTAATGTGAAAACTTCTCTAATTATTATTCCCTAAAAGAAAACAAAATTTTAATTCTGTGTCAATTATCTGATTTTAATTTTACTTTCAACTAATTTTATTTTTATCTGTGAAACTTTTTACTCTTTAAATCAATTAATTTATAATTCTAAGAATTTATGTATAAAAAATTTAAGTCCCAACAACTGCGACTTGAGATGGGTTTCAAAACATATGTTGTACTAAAACAACTCTTATATTACAAATATGTTGACTGACCTTTAATTATATAGATAGATAGAAACATATATTTTGCAGATAAATGGTTATCTTTTTTGCGGCAGAAAGAGTGTGAAGATTCTATCTTCAGATTATCTTCTTCCCAGTCGCTGCCACTGTCTTCGAAGAGATCTGAGTAATAGTCTTCACCATTCATAATACGCGTAGCCCCTTCTTCCAGTTCTTTTTCTGTCAGTGGCTTTTTGGAATCCATTTGACTGAAATCCAAAATATATTATTCTGAAGCTATATCCTTGAGCCACAATGTTAAATTGAAATTAATTTATTTGACGTTTCAATTTCCACTTCGGAAATCGTTATCAAAATACCTATTACAAAAAACGATTTCCAAAGTGGAAGTCGACACGTCATTTCAAACTAAAATTTTGTCTGTATTCCCAAACAAAATAGTAAATTCCAAAATTTATATTTAATACAAGAATACAATATAAAATAATTAGCTACCAACTTACCTCTATGAAATTTATTCGAAATAGCCAAAAAATGTACACCTATTAATAAAACTATCGGAGCTTTGTAAAATTGACGACGAAAGTGTGAAAATGATATTTTAGAAATTTTAAATGGTACAACTGCACACGACACTATCTAGCTAAAGTGTTGCCAGGTGACATGAACCATTTTGCGGTAGGTAGAACCAGAAAATTACGGTAGAAAACGGTAGACGTACCATAAAGATGTTAAATTTGTTGTTTTTTTACTTTATCTATTGTCAATGGTTTGTTTAAATGCCTTTAATAATAGTACGTTCAAATGTAAATAATTTTCAAGAGAAAATACACACAAAATTCTTAAAAAATATAATTTTTATTAAAAAGGATAGGTAAATAAACTTCAAACACATAAACTGAAAACAAAACTAAACCTAAAAAATAGAATAAAACAAAACAAATAAGTAACTGAATTATACAAAAAATCAACAATTAGATCTCGTCATTATCTGAGTTCTGCTCGTAAATGTTTTTATTTAGCAGTTTTCGCAAATCATGTTTAACTTTAAAACTAAAGCAACTTCCATCGTAGTCAACTAACCTCTTACTATGTAATAGTCCCTCAATGGTTTTGGTATTTGATTCATTTCTCTGCTTAGTTTTTAATATATTGACAACCGAAAAAAATCTCTCTACATTTGCACTAGAATGCGGTAAAGTCAATACATTAAAAACAAGTAAGGATAAATTGGGGAACATATTCAATCCATTTCCATAACTCATTTCACTAACATCAGACCAAAATTCTAATATATCATTAGATTCAGGCTACTCTGTGTTTCGTAAAAGTCTCCACTCATTATCTAATGATTGAATATCGCCCTGATTTATCCCAATATTGCCCAATTTAGCTGAAATATGTGCAATTGAATTAAGTTTTTTGCTTCTCACGAGATCAGGATTTATGAACTGCAACTTTTCCAGGATATTATTTTTCATGGGAACCCTTGTTAATAATTGGTCCACACTCTCTATATAAAATTGTAAACACTTTAATTTTACAAATTCTAAATCTTTTTTATCTATACTAGACGTAGAAATGTCAGATCCAAAATACATCTCCTCAATGGGTAACATATTTCTTGGACTTTTGAAATCTATATCAAATAATGCGGTTTTGTCAATGACATCTCTTTTTATAAAACAGTCCATAAGAGTTTTTACAATGGATTTGACATTAGCATATATGTAACTAATTTGTGGTGATTCTGACTGCATTTTTATGTTCAGGTTATTAAAATATGGAAGAACATAATTTAAGAATTGCAAAAAAAGTTTGTTTTTTGGATTCTTGAGAGACGTTAAAATATGGTTTGCTTGATCATCTGTAGGACTATTATAAGAAACGTCAGTGAAAAACAATATAAGTGCATTATACTGTTCTAAAATCCTGCGTATAATACTATGTAATGACATCCATCTTGTTTGAGATGGATGTAATATCTTATGGATTTTAACCTGAACGAACTCCTGAAATTGTCGCAGTTCATATATCCGTTTTGGGCTATTACTAAAGTAATTATATATATATATATATATATATATATATATATATATATATATATATATATATATATATATATATATATATCCCTTGTTAACTGTTCTACACAATTTGGGATTTTTGCACAAGCATAAGATGCTATTAAATGAAAACTATGGCATATACATTTCAAAATAAAGAGATTTGGTATAGATTCAGAAAACCGTGATGCAACTGAGTTGTGACTTCCCATCATTACATTAGCACCATCAGATGCAAAACCGATCATATTTTGTTTATAATCAATTTGATGTTTTTGAAAAAAATCTGTAATTTTATCGAAGAGGCTCTCTGCATTTGCATTTTCGATTTCAATTAGAGTTAAGAAAGAATCTTTAATTCGTTTATCAAGGAGAATCCTAACTACTAAACATAATTGTTTCGTACAAGTACGATCAGTTGACTCGTCGATTATTAGACTGAATTTTTTTATTTTTAAAAAAGAAATAAGTTTTTCTTTGGAAAAACGGCCTAGTACATTTTTAATAATGTTCGTAGTTTTAGTACGAGCGCACTTCATGTTTTTGGCGATGTTGGAGTCTGGAAGCATAGACTGCAATAATTTTGGCATATGGTCCATTACACGCATTGGTAAATTGTGTTCCACTACAAAGGCACACAGCTTAATTTCTGCGTCTTTTGCAGAATTTGCATTATGTGTAGATGTAGATGCCTCTCCTAAAAACTGGTCAAGCTTCTCTGCGTTTTTTTACTTTTACAATTTTCAGCATGCTTTTTTCCAGAAGCGTGCCTCTCTACTTGTAGCTTGCCAGATTCGATATCTATATCAACGTGACATGCAGAACAATAAGCAAAATTTTGTCCCTACAAAATTATATGCTATACTATTTTCATAAAAAAAATGTGTTCCAAAAACATACCTTTTTACTTTTTTGAAGCCAGCCTTTAAATTTACTTTCTTCTTCCCATGCAATTTTATAAACCTGGGAATATTTTCTTTTTTTCATAGCATTCTTTTTTATAGTATCACTGACACTACTATCATCACTGTCAAACATTATTATTAAAAAAGTATTAATAAATATACACTTAATATTTTCTTACAGACCACTGAAATACGGTAAATAAATTTATAATACTGATTTCTCTGAATCTGAATTTCTCATCACCACTGCTACATCATGGGCGTGCGAATTAAATTTTATAATTTCTCATATTCTATACAAAATTAAAAAATTATAAAACTCTGTATGTATCCTTTATGTTAAAAAGTGCGGTAGAAACAGGTGTTAAAACGGTAGAACGGTAGATCGGGATGGAGAACGGTAGATCTACCGTAATAACGGTAGACCTGGCAACAGTGAGCTAACGACTAAATTGAAAGGTAAAGAGCGGCCCAAGGCGAGCGGTGACCGTAAGTAGCCGAAAATACTTAAAGAAGTAAGCGTATCGTAAAATTTACGAATGTCTGGTAATCTAGGGTTAAAATAGTAATAAAAAATTATAATCAACAGTTTGGAGTTGCAAATACTTGGAGGTTACCTCAGGCATTGCCCTTCATAACGCTGTGCTGGTTTCAAAACTTTACTAATTAATTCTTAAAATCATTAATTTTTGTCTATACAGCTTGGAATATTGAGGCGGGTCTACTTAGATGTTAAGCAAACATATTAAACAGGCCACTCACCGTTCCTTCCTGCGGTTTCTCTCCTCTGTCCTCGGTCCCCATTACTGCCTAAAAGAAAAAAAAAAGGATTCAGCGGTTGCTTTTTTATTATTATTGATATGTCTACATATTTCACTATAAGTTTGATTCTAGTATAAAAACAAACCTGAATAATATGTAATTATTAATTGGCTTGTTAGGATATACAATAATTCTTTCAACAGAAAATAAAATTGTATGTTTGTATAGAGACAATAGAAATCTTACTTAAATATCAACCAGAAGTTTTAACTTCACATTTTCCAACTAAATTACATTTAAAAAAAGACGTAGTCCAAAAAATCAATGCCCTGTTTATAATCAATCTTAGCCATAGATACTGGAACTAAATAAAGTTTAACTATTATAGCGATTGAAAGAATATTTTACTACCAAACTTTTACCAAACTCTTTTAAAGTATGTTTAGCAGTAAATGGTTGACTTCAATTAGTACCGACTATAACGATTCACTATAAAAATCCAGTTCAGGTAAAATTTAAATAGGTTTCCTGGTAAAATTTGTCAATCTTCATTTCTTAATATTGATTTAATTACATACAATCCAAACTCATTATAATTTCATTAATACAAATAAGGCTTATATTGACGAAACGGTACTGATAAGAGGGTTTTTCGAATTCAATGGTAGAGCGCGACACGTTTGCTAATCACCTTTTAAGTGGTTTTCAAGAATTTATATGATAATTTTGATCGAATCCGGCAAAAATTTATAGACAAACATCCACTGGTCCTCCTCCGATTAAAACCTGTGTGGCTCCACGGCGATCGAGGAAGTTCTGGAAGGTCAACGTCTACTTCAAGAGGACTTCGGAGTAGTTTTCCATAAATATAGAGGAACTTTTTATTTAACACAGTTAGTTTTGAATACCGAGTCGAGTTTTAGTCTGAATATAATGTATCGAGTTTGAATTATTTTATCGCGGAAATGTAGTAGAATCGGTAAATAGTGTAAACTAAATTAGTGTTAAACTGTATATAATAGTGTAAATCAATTATTGTAAGACTATAATAAATTAATAAAGACTCTAATAAACTTGTGTTGTAAAACTGTTGGAACATTTTTATAATAAGTAAAGTTAATAAATTATAATTATAAAAATAGTACACTATTATTGTTTAATCCCATAGAACATACGTGGCACTAGTTTTAACCGTAAGGCAGCAAAATCGCTCCCCTTAAGGGTGGTCTGGTGATGAAAAATTATTAGGGTGGTAATAATTAATAGCAGGGCACTTAGCCAGAACACAAGATGGACGGTGGACAAGACGTATTATGGAATGGAGGCCCAGAAATTATAAAAGAAGCCGAGGACGACCACCGACTAGATGGACCGATGACATTAAACGTGTAGCGGGAAACTGGCTACAAGCGGCCCAGTGTAGAGAACACTGGAAAGAATTGAGGGAGGCCTATGTCCAGCAGTGGATGCGATTGGCTGATTGATGATGATGAATAATTAGTAACAAATGGGTTAAACAGATATGCCATAAGCAAAAAGTTTTTTTTCCGAATTCTGCTAGCTTAAACCGTAAGCCAGCAGAATCACTCACCTTAAGGTTGGTTTGGTAGTGAAAAATTATTAGGGTGGTAATAAATTATTGAAAAATATTAAATTGGTTTCCGCTCATTTGTCCCTGCTAGCTTAAGGGTCCTAAAGGATCACTACAAAAGCAGTGCGACCAATTTGTGGCAATAATGTTAGAAGACTCTGAGGTTTCCAGAGGTTCTAACAGTTCTTACCCTTTTTCGCCCCGTTGTGAAAGAAGAGGTCTCTTAAATAATTAAATCTCTTAGTAATTCTAATTATAGGAATGTTTACGAAATTAATAGCACAATTTTAAAAGAAATTTACGAAATAGTTTTAACACCCTTCACACATCTTATTAATTTAATTCTCTCAATTGGAGTATTTCCGGAAGTACTAAAATACTCAAAAGTTCTACTTATCTATCAAAAAGGTGATTCCTCAAAAACTGACAATTACAGAGCCATAAGCATTGTTTCTACTTTTGAGAAAGTGATTGAATGATGTTATTTTATTTCTAATTTGAGCCAAGTTATTAGTTTAGCAACTCACAACATGAATTGGGGTAATTGGGGAACTTGAACTCGGCAATCGCACAGCAATTTCTCTCTCTGCAACTTGTCAAAGTCTTTTGCTCCACAAATTAAATTACTATGGAATCAGAGGTACCCCTCTTAAGCTTTTACCTTCTTATCCATGTGGCAGACACCAGGCGATAGTGTTTAAAGGTCATCACACGGATAGAAAATCTCTCCGATTTTCTATCCGTAAAACATTGTATCCCACAAGGTTCTATCTTGGGACCTCTTTTGTTTATTATTTATGTCAACGATTTGTCTAAATTCGCATCTCCATACAAATCCGTACCATTCGCAGGTGATGCGACATGCGTTATATCAAGAAAAAATAATGAAGATTTAAAACTGTTTTATGAAGTTTCTACTAAATCTACTAATACTACTAATTTGGTTACATCTGCAAGTCATTTACATAATGATCTAGATAACAGCGGGGCTGTTAAACTATTGGGAATAACCATAGATAATCGACTGAATTGGTCAGTCAAACTAAAGAAAAAGCTAACAAGTTCATTATTTGTTATTCGCCAGCTAGCAAGGGCTATCAACTTTGGAACATTAAAGATGACCCATTTTTCTTTATTCCGCTCTCACCTAAATTATGGATTAATCATATGGGGAAATTTAACAAATGCACTCCAAATTTCTAGAATGCAAAAGTAAGCTTTCAGGATTTTAGCAGGGGTTAGTTATCTAGAACATTGCCGACTTTTCTTTATCAAATTAAAAATTATGCCGCTACCTACTCTGTTGATGTTTCAAGTTCTAACTGAAATTCACAGAAAACGTGCTCATTTAATAAAGCACTCTGATGTTCACGTCCACAATACGCGAAACTGCCACTACTTAAGAACAAATCGTTCTGTGCCGATACTGCCGTTATTTTACTATTAACTCGCATTGACCTTTTTCTTATAGATGTATATATATATATATATATATATATATATATATATATATATATATATATATATATATATATATATATCTATATATATACAAAATATGAAAATTCAAAATATTTCAATTAATAAACTATAAAAGATATTTCGAAGAAATGAAAGTCCATTAGCCTGGATTACCTGTAGTAAACAAAATTTTAAAGATATGCATAAATTATTTCTTTTGTAAAATATATTTGAGTGACATGAGTGCAATTAGTGAAACCATGAACAATGCAAGCGGGTTTTCCAAATGGACTTGTACAGTAGATAAGGCAATAGAATGAATATTTAGGAAATATATTTTTCCGTTAGTTCTTAAGAATTTGTGGGAACCGATTAGCATGTAAATAGTTTTTAGGAAATTTATAATTGTAGGTAAAAATTGTTTGTTTGTTATCTGAATGAATAGATGGGGATACGTATGACGAGCTTTGATTGGAGGAGTTTATTTCCAAGGGTTCAAGGCGAACAGTCGTTGTACTCTTGTGGTTCCCCAGTGGTAGTAAGCAGTAGAAGTGAATGTTTGTGAGTTTTCGTGGAGTTCGTGTATCTGACGGAAGCTAATCCAGTAAAATATTGTAAGTTATACTTTTCTACATATATTCTAAGAGTCACTGTTCAGGCAGGAACGAGGGATTCAGTTTATCGAGAAGAGAAAAGGCTAGCATAATTTGAACGATACGTGCATTTGAAGAAGATCATTAAAGACGAGAGGGTCGCAATAATTTGTTGTAAGATTGCTGATTACCTAGGGGACTGCTAAGAATAGATAGTGTAGGCTACAAGGAACAAGGATTTGGACAACTCATCATCAGAGAGATAGTTTTACTATTCGTCAGTTTTTTTTGTTAACCACATAATTTTTACAATTGTTTTAGAAAAGATAGGAATATTTTGATCAGGAGATATAGAACAACAATTTTGATTTAAAGTTTTAATTTAAATTGTATGTACCATTAATTTTTGAAGGTTCACGTACGCAGAACAAAATTTTAATAAATCAATATATAAGATATTTTTATTGAAGATATTTGAGTGTGAATTTTATTTTAATATATTTTTATTTCAATATATAATGCTGTATCATATATGTTTTTTATTATTCCGGTATTCTTTGGACCTTACCTATCATATGTAAAGCATAGATATTGAAGCACGAGTATACCCTTGAGGTAAGAGAATTAAATAATGTGATAGAATTATAATTGCATCATTTAAATTGCATTAAGTTTAATTGATTGATTAATTGATTAATTAATTATCTAGACATTTAATATCACATT